CTCTCCTTCACTCTCCCGCCTCGTCTACGTACTGCACCTATGTATGTACAGGGTGATCCCAAAAAAACTTTACATCTTTTTTTCCGAATATCACGAGCAAAAATTGTTCTAGAATGCTGTAATTTGGAACAGACATAATTCATTCAAAAGGAATTTGTTTGATGTAAAATCCACGAGGAAGAAACATGTTTGGAAAACGGAAAGGGATAAAAGAAAAAGCACCCAAAAACACAAAGTTCACCAATGTTTAAAAATCTTGAAAAGGCAGTTGTGAAAAGATTAGTTGACTTTTCTCTTTATTTTCTCTCTTACATTAATATTCCATCCCTGTGACATTTAAACAATATTTAAATTCTTTAACAGAGTTTAAAAAACCTCATGATTTCTTTCTGAAATTCCTAGAAGCAGTGCTCCCCATTCCCTCCTTTGGACTCGACATTTTTTTAACGTGTCGTTCGAAATGTTCAGTGGCGCCCTAACACAAGGACCTGCTAAACCATGCGTTTTTAAAGCCACATGCACTGTACACGTTCACTAAGGAGTGGTTTCTAGAGACCATAGAGTGGGGAACCCAAGAGACAGCATGTTTGGAGTTAACATATCCCGCAGCGTGGAAATGGGCTTTGCACTAGACCAAAAATCGAGGAAATGATCCCTCTTTACAAGACAATCGAGGAAGCATGAACACATTGCCATGCTCTGATCCATGTCGTCTCAGCCTAGCGAAGATGAACATGGTATGGTCGTAGGTTAAGATCTGAGAATGGAGGCTGTTGATGTGTAGGGAAGTCCTAGCACGCAGATCATCCATGGACTGACGTCTCATGGGACTCGGCTACTGAAATCTGCACTCCTGTGACGTTTAAAGGGCTGTGCATGGTGCGTGTTCGACCTGAAGTGGTCCTTTTTTAAAGAACTTCTTAATTCTGATTCACTATAGATCCAAACTGACAGGACTTCTCCACTCATGACACCAAAGGTCTTGAGGGCACCTAAGCATTCTCTCCATGCCGTGCGCAGATTTACGAAATGTCAGGGATGGTGAGTTTGTGGAGAGGTAATATTCAATACAAAAAGCTCTCTGCTCTTTACTAAACGTTACCATGATCTAAGCAGGCAAACACAATTTGGGAAAAATAATATCTGCAGACTTCTGTTGACTTGTTAGACTGCTGTAGCTTGCAATAAGGCGCGATTGTTGCAACTTTTAGTGGTGGGCCTAATGCGAAATTGTGCGTCATGCTATGAAAATGGCGACAAGGTTGAAAATGGGGTGTTTTTTAAAATGTGCTATATAGAGCAAAACCATTCAATAGACTTATCTAGAATACATATCAGCCAAATTCCTTATGGCTTCCAAACGTCATGTTCAAATCTGAAACACAAAACTTCAGTATGGAGGAAGATATTTAGAAAACAAGTTGTAAAGTTGTTTTTTTGGATCACCCTGTATTTAACGGGTCATATTATGATCTAATGTGCGGGTACCTGGATGGGTCATCTCTGACTCTGAAGTTGATTTCTAATGACCTCCCATCATTCACAGTCGCGAGCTGCCGTTGCACATTCTGCCCTATCCAGGCCAGTCCATGTTTTTATGTTGTCCATCCAATTTACTCTTTGTCTTCCCCTGGCTCTTATGTATGGATGTATGCGCTTATGTATGGATGTATGCGCTTATGTATGGATGTATGCGCTTATGTATGGATGTATGCGCTTATGT